CTGGCCTCGAACTCACAGAGATCCGCCTGCCTCTGCCTCCCGAGTGCTGGGATTAAAGGCGTGCGCCACCACCGCCCGGCTTCAGTGCAGTTTTTAGTTATTAGTAACAATTGCAAATATATTTTTGTATAGTTTGACACCACATTTCTTCTTAAATTAATTCTAGAATAAGAATTTTCTATGGAAGAAGTTGGTCTTAACCAATTTTTTCAGAAATAAACATTTTGAAATTATTTTGATGGAAATACTGAAATAAACATAGTTCTGGCTGTGTTTATTTCAGTATTTCCATCAAAATAATTTTTTCCGTCATTCTTTTGGAGCTTGGCAGGCTTAAATCCTAGATCTTCCTCTTCTTCCAATAGGCATAGTTGTGAGTAACCCACTGAGAGTAATGTAGTAGAGATGGGTTAGGAGGCTGCAGGACTAGGTTCTATTTCTGATTCATGACTCAGCTATATGATCTTGGGAAACCACCCACAGGTATCCCTTTCCGCACAGGAACAATGGAGACGGTGAGGTTTAACTTAATCTCCTGTGGTTATTAAGGCGATCAGGTGAACTCTATCAGGGCATTGTATCAACTATAATGTATCAGGTCCTTTATTTCCATGTGTATCCCTGGTCTGTGGCCTAGAGGGCAGGTGCTATGTGCAAGCCTGTCTTTGTAATCCTGTGTGTCTAATATTGTTTGTTTATGGAAGAAGCATCATGTTAACTTTTACTCTGGGTTTGAGTAAAACAGTCAAATACCATTTCTTTGGGAAAATATATGATAGTAATTACAAAAGCTGAATATGATGTGTACACAAAGAAATGTATTTCTTTGCTTACCAAAATTTGTGTATAAGAATGTTCATAAATGTTCATAATAGCAAAAAGCAAGAAATGACCTAAATGTCAGCAGTTTAAGATCAGTATATTGCAGCTGTTCATAAGTGAGATCCTGTATACCAGTGTAAAAGAACAAGTTATTTTTAAGAGATAAATTAATATTCCATTTATATAAAGAAGTTCAGGACTGGTGATGTAGCGCAGTGGGTCATGGTGTTTGCTGTGCAAGCCTGACGTCCAAGTGTAATCTGGAATCCGTGTAAAGATAGAAGGAGAGAACCAGGCTCAGAAAGTTGTTGTCCTCTGTTGTTCCCTTGTGGATTCTGGTGTGTGTGCACCCCACTCCCCAAACAAAGCTGCTTAAAAAAATTGATTTATTTAGTTTTACATCCCAGTCACAGTTTCCCTTCTCCCAAATATAGTTTTTAAAAGAGTCCAAGAGGGGAAAATTATGAAATCAGGATAATGTATAGATTTGAAAAGGCTGATGGGAGAGCATGTGATTTTTGAGAGCTTTAAAAAAAATTAAGGTGTTTATTTTACACAATTGTTTGATTAAAAACTCAGTGAATTACACATTTGTCATGTGTCCCACCTAAGAATGTTGAATGAAAAGGTTTTTTTGAAGCTAGAGAGAGTGAAGTCTGTTTACAAGTCCTTGAGTCTTTTTCACTCTTTTCTTTGGAAGATGACTGTTGAGTCCTGAAGGTTGGGTGTGGGATTGGAAGGACTGTTGTTCGTTGGGTTTCCTTGGTTTACCAGTAATTCATAATTGAGACCTTTCTATTGTTGATATTCATATGTAATGTTTAATATGTGAGAAAGTATATGGCAGTTCTTAGAAATTGTTTCATAGTAAAAGCCACCTAGTAACTCAAATTTGAATTCTGCTACTGATTTGCTAGTGATCATGTAAATTCATGCTGCTTCATATCAGACCCACTCCCTTCAAATGAGAATGTCAGGATATAACTGACTTGTTGGCATTACTAGGAGATGAACAATCATGGAGAAAATATTTGCTTTCAAAAGTGAAAACTGGGGCTATAAGGTGGCAGGAGTGTAGATTCCAGTGACAATGTTACCCGGGCTCTCTGGTGATAGGCTGTACCCAGCCACTTGCAAAGCAAAAGCATAAAGGTTACCGGAGCCCCACTGTTGAAAGCCCGTCTACAACACAGTGAATGAAGCCAGGTACTAAGGGAGGGAGAAGGCTCCCTTTGTCTGTATCCTGCCCGCTGTATCTTCCCAGTTCACTTGCCCTGTTCTCATGTGCTGCCCCCATGCTCACTCCCCGTGGGCTCGTCCTCTCACCTTCACTCTCACCTCACTTTAAGTGTAACTCAGCTGGCCTTGAACCTCGGCAATCTTGTTTCGGCCTTCTAGTTTAAGATTGTGGAATTAGTAGTACTTTAGTGATTTTAATTTTAATTTAATAAAGCCTCTAATATTTTTTAGGAAAAGTGATAATCAGTTTTTAGTGAGTTATGCATTTTGCCATTAGTGCTACACTGGTTCCCTTGATAACGTTCAGTACTCTTGAAGGCTCTCTGTGGAAAAGCAGATGATGAAAATGAGTGGCTAGATTAGTTTAGGCATCTGTGATTAGCACTGTGTATTCTCACAGCTCAATAGTATTTGTGAGCGTTCCTCATTGTTTTCATATTCAAATACATTAAAGGTTTCTTCTAAATTTCTCTTTTTTAAGAGTAGCTACATTTTTCATGAAGCCATGTAACAAACTTAGTGTTTTGTAAAGTATATTGACCTCTCAATCTAAACAGGAGAGCCTGGGACGTCCTTTAGTGCAAGGAAAGAGTGTGTCTGTACTTGAATCTATAGCTTTGATTCAGTGTGCTATAAGTTGCTGTTGAGTGATCAGGAGATTAACATATGAATTCTGCTATGCTATTTAATAATGGTATATGATTCTAGACAATACCCAGAGGTTGTTTATTGAGCCTCATTGTTCTCAGCCATAGAATGGGAAAAATTAACTTCCTATAAGAAGGATTGGAAATCAAATCAGTTAAGTGATTATTTGAGTCTTTGACTGTGTAATAATGTAGATGACTCCAGGATTTAGCTGAATGACTTTTGAGTTAAGGTCTTATTTAGCTCAGGCTGGTTTCAGACTCTTAGGTGATCCACCTTCTACCTCCCGATTGCTGGGATTATGGACTGGCTTGAGTTACCATGCCCTGCATGAGTGAGGGGTGTTTATTTCTCTGCTTCATTTATTGGTTGGGTGGTTTGGGCTCTAGTGTCTCATGAAACACCAGTAAAATTGTCTGCCTATTCTTTAGTCATTTTAAGGTTCTTTTGGGATTGGAACCACTTTCAATCTTACGTTTCTGTAAGTGAAGAACCTTAAGGCTTTGTATTATGAGCTTCATCATAGGCACCATGTGGTTCCTGTTTTCTTCAGAGAACAATTGCAAGATGTTTCAAGACAGAGGCCTCTTAAATTTTAGATTCAGAACTGGGCATGGTGATAACCAGCTTTAATCTCTACTCAAAAAGGCAGAATATATATATATATATATATATATATATATATATATATATAGCACGTGCCTTTTGGAACCTCGCAGTTGTGAGGGAGAGGCAGGTAGATCTCTGTGTGTTCCAGGCTAGATATATATATATAGTGACTTCCAGACCAGCCAGGGTTATATAGTGAGACCCTGTCTCTTAAAAAAACAAAACAGGGGGAAAAATAACCAAAAAAACAAACACCACCATCACCAATCAAAAAACAACTTTAGATTCAGAAAGTGACATCATTTCAGGTATAATCTATTTTTTAGCAGTAAGTTCAGCTCATCTTCAAGGGGGAAAGTACTACATGAATACTAGGAGCTAGGGATTATCGAGGGGCTCCTGGAAGCTGTTGACCACGGCAAAAAGCTAATAGTGTTTTTCCTAGCAGATGATATCTTTTCTCCCTTCTAAGAGTTTTATATAAGTTTTGTCTAAGAGTTGGTTATATAAAGTAAGGTAATCATAGGATAAAAAATGTCTTTTAAAAAAGCATATGCTAATAGGGAAAGACTGGCCAAATGCACTATTGGATGAAAATAACAATAGTACGAAACAGTATGTTATCCTCAGAGGTGTGTGTGTGTAGGAGTTACATATGCATGACTAAATGTACACATGGGCAGTTTTGGGAAGATTTTGTAGGCAACTAATAATGGCTCTTCTTAGTGCTGGGGACTAAGTCTCTGGAGTCCTTATGTAGAAGGAAGATTGAATTTTCATTGTATGTCTTTTTGGTAAAGGATTTATTTTATTGTTTAATGTGTGTGAGTGTTTTGATTGCATGTATACACGTGCACCACATGTGTGCCTGGTGCCAGCAGAGGTCAGAAGAGGATTTTGAGCTGCTGTATCGGTGTTGGCAACAGAACCAGGATTCTCTGCAAGAGCAACAAGTGCTCTTAACTGTGAGCCATCTCTCTAGCTCCTCATTGTATGCCTTTTAAAATTGCACATACTATTTTTGTTTAAGAAATAATTGCCCAATCTTTGAACATCCAGCTTTAAGAAAGTGTAATGTTTGTGTATATAGACAGTTAGTTTGTTAACACTTTCTGAACATGGAAAGGAACAGATAAGGGGAGAGTTTGAAGTATTACTTGTTTTTCAGAATCTTTACTGGTAAGAGATCGTGTTAATTTACCATATTTTCTTCTTATTATAGGGAGACCAAATTTTGAGGAAAGTGGACCAACATCTGTGGGGAGAAAGCATGAGTTTATACGGTCGGAAAGTGAAAACTGGCGGATCTTCAGAGAGGAGCAGAATGGAGAGGACGAAGACGGAGGTTGGCGATTAGCTGGGTCAAGACGGGACGGAGAGCGGTGGCGGCCTCACAGCCCTGGTGAGAGTTGTACAGAGCAGAGGGGCTGAGATGAGAGCCTGCTAAAGTGTTTGCAACTTAATGGAAAGGAAAATAGTGTTTGTTTGTTTGTTTTTAAAGAAATCATTTATGCTGTCACAGCTCAGTCTTATTATTACAAAAATATTTTAACGAAACAATTCCCTAACACATCTACTCAGTTGATTGAAATCACTTTTCTGTTTTCCTGAGGCAAATAGTATGGTTTAATAGGAAGCACCTGCCTGCATCTGCAGGCATGGGGGAGGATTTCATTCAGTTCGTCTACCTCTCTATCTGTAGCATTCTGTAAAACTGGTAAATGAGGGTATTAAAAAATAAACTTACAAATGTATAATTATACATTTGGAATGTGAGTTGTCTTCATGGGTATTTTCCTTGAACAAGAAAGGATTATTTTTTCCCTTTTCTCCCCTTGAAAAAGTGATTGAGGCTGGGCAGTGGTGGCACACGCCTTTAATCCCAGCACTTGGGAGGCAGAACCAGGTGGATCTCTGTGAGTTCAAGGCCAGCCTGGTCTACAGAGTGAGATCCAGGACAGGCACCAAAACTACACAGAGAAACCCTGTCTTGAAAAACCAAAAAAGAAAAAGAAAGAAAGAAAATATGATTGAGGGATAGGGAGGCTTATTTAAAGAATAAACTTTAAACTTAGGTCAGGAGTAATCACAAGTTTCTTCTTTTTGTCCTCCTGACTTTAGAAAAGAGAACAAGAATAGTAATGATCAGTAAATTTCTACGTTCTTCTTTTGGACTCTTCATGTTTCAAGCCATTCTTGGGTATTAGCTATGCCAGTAATTGAAGACACTGGTCCTTTGTGAAGCTCCTTTGCTTCCATCCTCATGATGCTCAGATGTGCTGTAGCCTGAGTCGTGGGGTCACACAGACAGAATGTGTGTCTGCCCCAAGAATCATAATAATACCAGCTGTATGCCAGAGAAGGTTACCTTAGTGGGTACTAGAACAGTCTATAAGTATTTTTCTCATTTTAAAGTCAAGTTGTTAGCCAAACCTCTAAACTAGTCTGACACACTGTAGTAGGCGTTTAGTGATATGTGGATAGAAACATAATGAAATTAACCTTTCAATAAAAGTCTGATGATTATAGTAGTTATAGTTCTTCAAAGCTGCCTCTTGCGCAGGTTTTCAGTCATGAGTGGGCATTGTTTAATTCATAGGATCCAGGCAGTTCTCATCAGTCTGTATCCTAGGCAACCACATGTCATAATTCTCTCCAGGGCATTACGGCATTTTGTGCTGAGCTTGCCTGTAAGGAGAGGGGTTGTAGACTTATGTTCCCCACAAGCATTTAGTGAAGAATGGACAGAATCTGGGCTGAAGGAGAAGAGAAATTCCAGCTGGTCAGAAACAAACAAGGTGAATGTTTTGGAAGATGAACAGTGCTTCTGAGCCCAAGTGTGTGATGCTGAGTCTATTAAAGGGAGTTAGGTCCCCTTTTATTGTCCTCTTCCACTGTTGTCCTCCCTAGCACCTTAGAATTCGGTCATACAGTGTTTCCCTCATCTTTTCTAAATCTTTCTCCTTCATTTGTTTTTGTATCAGTTTTGTTGTCAGCCTCACAATCTATTCCTGCCCCCTTTGTCCATGTATTTTTACAAGATGTTTTATGGGATAAAGATAAACGAGATCTGGAAAAAACTCCCGTGCTTTCTTTTTTTAAAATACATTTTACTTTTAAACCTGGCATATTAAAAATCTAGTCTGATCACTTAGTTGTTTTAAGTTAATTTCCACCTCTTAGGTTATAGTTAATCTTTTATTAGATTTACTAACTCTTGGTAAGACAACGTACGAGATGTAGTTCTATTAAAGCAGGGATCCCAGCAGGTTATAGCTGGAGAGTACTCAGTGGACAGGGAAACCTCCACTCTGGGAGATGAACTTAGGAAACTCAGTAAGAGGGAAACAGGAGCTGAGTGCCTAGAAGGATAGATTCCTATCAGTGTGCATACTTAGACTGTTTAGAAGTGATAGCAGTGGACAGCCGACTCTGGAATCTAACATTTGATCATGAAGACTCCTTTTGAGCAATAGCTCTAGCCTTACATTTAAACAGAGCGTATATACAATTCTGGGCTCTCAGCAGGTAGTAAATGTTTTACATAGGAGAGGATCTGTCTTTTTTGAACATCTTAAGTTTCTACCTGTATTTGGCATCTTAATATTTTCCACAGTGTTGTTCTCCCTCCCCTCCCTTTCCACAGTAGTGTTTAGAATGCTGGTTCTAGCACATTTGGCCTCAGGAGTTAGAGCATTTCACTCTGGCCTCATTTTTCCCCCTATATCTCTCAACAGAGTGAGAGTCAAGACTAGAAAATTGAGAGGTTAAAAACCACCTTTGCATTTGCAACTCTTAGATGTGGGTTGGACAGATGTAGCAAGAAATTCCCTTCTTAAAAGAGTACTTCTGTTTTAGAAAAAAACCTTGAGCAGGCAGTCTTTTTCTGTTGGCAAGTAGATTCAGTGAGTATTATGCTAGGGTGGATTCAGGAATGCCCCTGCGGTGGTAGACTGGGGGAAGTGGGAGGGAGGAAGTGCAGTGCAGTGGCAGAGCAGCGGGGATGCCGACCGGGGCCAGATAAGCCTGTCCGTGCCCAAGTGCAGCGCTTTGTTTTTGTTGGAGATCAGACTTAAAAATGAGAAATTAGCACTAGTAATTAGACACAGTGAGTTTGATATTATGAGTTGACACAGGAACTAATATAATTCAGAGTGATGTTTTTCTAGGAAGAAGGGTACTGCTTTAATATCTATCAAAGAGAAGGCATGAACTTTAATTCAGAAAGACAGCCAGTGCAAGTCTTGGCTAGGAGTGGGCCATACAAGTAATAATTAATTAGTCATTGCTCACCGAATGCCCAATTATTCAGAGTGTATACTTTGAATACCGTATCCTTTCAGTGTGCTTTGTTCTAAATTTATCTTTTAAAGCTTGACTTTGTAACATGCCCCAAACTTTGTAGGTAAATACTGTTGTCACTTAGTGACGATAAATACTCTGAGCTCAGGTCTCCTGATTTTCTCTTTAGAAAGCTGATCCACTAGAATTTGCTCTTAGTTGTAGTTTTCTTTATTTCATAACCATGATTTTCTTTTTCAAATACTGTCATAAACCTTTCCTAAGGTTTCTGTCCTCCTCCTCCTCAACTCAGATGGCCCTCGTTCTACAGGCTGGCGAGAACACATGGAGCGCCGCCGGAGATTTGAGTTTGATTTTCGAGATCGAGATGATGAGCGAGGTTACCGAAGGGTGCGCTCTGGCAGTGGGAGCATAGATGACGACAGGGATAGCTTGCCAGAGTGGTGTTTAGAGGACGCCGAGGAAGAAATGGGCACGTTTGACTCGTCTGGAGCATTCCTCTCTCTAAAAGTAAGAAAGTTGTTTTAAATGCCATGACAGGTGCTGACCTTACACCAAAGCCAGATATGCTGTTAGCCTTTGGTTTTACTTTCTTGCTTCAGAAAGTGCAGAAAGAACCTATTCCTGAAGAGCAGGAAATGGACTTCAGACCTGTGGAGGAGGGAGAAGAGCGCTCTGATTCTGACAGCAGCCATAATGAAGAGGCCAAAGAACTCGAGAAGGCAAATAAGAAAGAGGGAGAAAAAACAGACAGAGCAGTAGCTGGTAAGGCTGATTTTTGTCAACCTGGACCTTGTTTAAACAAAAACCTCCTTGAATTCGCTTACTTTTACTTTGTGTTCCAGAAGCTAAGGAGGAAGTACCCCAGACGTCATTATCATCTGCTAGGCCAGGCACCCCTTCAGATCACCAGCCTCAAGAAGCACCACAGTTGGAGAGGAAAGAGGAGCCCAAAGCTGAACAAATAGAACAACCTGAAGAAGAGACTCAGGGAGAAAAGAGTCTCCCAGTCAAGGGACCCAGCAGAGGGGATGGTATGTATTTGTAAGAGTGTACCTAAAACGGGATTTTGCTGAGACCAGTGGTCACTGGTGTGACAGCTTTTACTTAACCCCATGGAACTGTTTTCAGGTGAAGATGATTGGAATAGATATCATTACCAGTAAATGCAGTTGCTTTCCTCGTGTTTCCTAATCTCAAAATTCATAAAAACAGGGTTAATATCTGCAAGAGTGGCGATAAGAGCCTCGGTCCCTAGGGTGATAGATAGAGCTGTCTTGACTGCACTTGTACATTTAGTTGGGATTCTCTGTAGTTGTTGGATTCCCATAGCAGAAAAGTTGCCTTTCATCTAGTATCATATATTCAAGGGAACAGAAAGAGCACCTGGGCCAGTCTAAAAGCCCATCCTCACCTTTGCTAGGTAGAAAGCAAGTCTTTACACATCTTCTGTAGTGTTAACTAAATTTGTTTGAATGGCTTATACATCTTAAAAGCACTGTTGTTGTGCATTTCTTTGATGATTTTTGTAAGTACTTAAACATCGCATTGCATGGCTGATGTTGAAGGACACAGTCACCTTAAGAGTCTGCCCTTGGTAACATGGCCTGCTAGACTTGGGCCCTGTTACATGGCTCCATTGTAGTTTCAGCATCAGCTCTTGATCTCCCTACATCATACTCACCATCGGAAGGTATTTTAGACCTTGATTTGTGCCCTGGTTTTTTGTGTTTATGCGTCTCTATATAGCTGAAACTTGATTCCCTCCTAGTAAGGTTGTTGTCTTCTATTTCTTAGTAACCAGTACTCTTCAGTAGTTAACATAGCAATGCTATATGTATATACCTAACAAAACAGTATTATAAAGATTGAGTTTTTTTTCCCTTTCCCCTCCTCATTAGACTAATATATTGAAGGCCTGAACCAAAAATTTGTTTTCAGGCCAGGTGGTGGTGGCATATGCCTTTAATCCCAGCACTTGGGAGGCAGAGGCAGGGAGATCTTGGCTAGCCTGGTCTACCTACAGAGAGAGTTCCAGGACAGGTCAAAACTACACAAACTCTTATCTTAAAAAACCAAAAAAACAAAAAAAAAAAAAAAGAAGAAGAAAAATCTACTTCCTTGGGTAGGAAGTAGAATTTGGAAGTGTAGATAAAGCTGGATCAGTTGAGGGAACAGTGAAAGTATATTGAGAAAATAGAACTGTTGTGTCATGGGCAAGAAATAGTTTTATTTATTACACCCCCCCCCCCTTGTGTGTATGTTGACAAGTAGAAATTAGAAACCATCTTCCAAGAGTCACTTATCCTCTTCTACCATATAGGTTCTGGAAATTGAGCTCAGATTGTCTGGTTTACTTAGCAAGCACCCCCAAACCACTGAACCATCTTGCTGTCCTCTCAGGCTACTCGCACCCCTTTTTAAAGAAATAGGTACTATGTGTGCTAAGAAGGTTGGTAGAAACTATAGTTGGAACTTAGATTTGATAGCTTTGTGTAGGGTATGGAGATAGTTGGGCTACTGTGTGACCTCAACTTCTGAGCAACCCGAGGAGGTAGGCAGTACACTTGTAAACTGAGGTAGTGGTAGATGAGCTTTTAGTCAGAAACGGACATACGTACTGATTATATGTCATGGTGGGAAAGAGGCAAAGATGGCTAAGGTGGTCCAGAAGATTAGGTACCGGGAAACAAGTAGAAGCTGAAGAGCCCATTAGAAAGAGGACTGAATGAATCCGTTTAGAACATTGACTGTGAAGCGTGAAGGTGAGTGAGAGTTGACCAGAAAAAAGGTTGTAAATGAGGGACTGTACCTGGATGAGAGTAGTTTAGAGCTAGGCAGAAAATAAGAATAAAAAATTCTAGCTGGATCCATTGTGGCGGCCCAGGCCTGTAATCCCAGCAATTGGTATTTAGAGTTAGAGAGTTAGAGGCCAGCATGGGCTGAGGAGTAAGACTGCCTCAAAAGTAAACTGAAGAGTACAAGAACAAAGCCATACAGTGGGTGGGTGAGGAAAGAAGAGGACTGGAAACACAAGTTTGGGTATTGCCTACCTTTAGGGGTTAGGGGTGGGAACCAGAGAATTCCCGTGAGAGGCAAAAGTATGGCCTACCAGTGCAGGAAGGAGACCGTTCAAGCTTAGAATTGGGTCAGTGATGTCACTTGCTCCAGAGATTAGCTACTGATGGCAAGAGGAAGTTGTTGAGTCTGGCAATTTTGTATCACTGAACCTTCAACAGGGCGCTTGACTGGCGAGAAGGGGCAAATGGAGGTCCTGTCTGTCAGGTGTAGGTGGGGGTCATG